CATTATAACGAATTACCGCATCAGTTCGTTTCTCGGATTGGTATGGTCTATCAAACAGCCTGTCAGTATTTGGACTGCTTCGTTTCTCGTAACTTGATCGCATTGGCTGAAACTGGTGCTTTCATTCTGGGCAGTGCATCTGTTGCGTTCTTCCTTCTGGGAATGGTGCATGAACAAATGATGCACCTGAGCGGATATTGGGCCATCCTCGTCGCCGGTGGTTTGCTTGCCCGGGCCTGCGTCAGTTTCATCCCTGATGAAAATGTGATCTATTCGCCTCAAGCATTGCTGATCACTATTTTGGGCAAAATCCATCGTGTTCGCGATCATTGGATTGAACAAGGTGCAACTTATCGCGTCTGTGCGGAGTTTGCTCAGTTATTTCAATACCGACTTTCTGCTGCGCTCGAAGAAGTATTCTCGGCTATTATCACGCCATTTTTGCTCATTTTTGTTGTTCCCAACCACACGCTTGAAATCGTCGACTTTTTGCGTAATTACACAGTGGAATTACCTGAGTTAGGTGACGTATGCAGCTTCGCGCAAATGGACGTGCGTCGGCATGGCGATCCGCATTGGCGTCCGGACACATACGAGGATCACGAAGCCGACACGCCACATGGAGGGGACTCTGAGCATGAGACTTCTCGTATGCTACCAACTGATGGCAAAATTGAGTTGAGCCTAATGCATTTCCATCTGAACAACCCTACCTATCCTTTGCCAGAATCAAGTCGAGCCTACTTGTTAGCCGTGCGTAAGCAGTTGATGCGGGACATACACCAACCGTTGATACAAGCCCAACAAGACCAAAACGGTCACCCTTCAGTTGCCGGTGGTTTAGCTGGTCCGTTTTCACCCACTAGCCTATTCACATCCTTGTATGGTGGTCAAAGCGCTGTCCAGCGAAGTTTACCTCAACATGGTTCTCCGTTCGGTAACCAGGCCCAACAACTAAAGAGAGTTTCACATTTACCTGGACCTAGTTACATTCCAAGTGACACGTTAGGTTTCGTAGGAGCTCTAGCTCAATCTATGCGTGTATCTATGCGAC